TATCCTATGTTATTGAATTATATACATAAATTTTTATAATAAAAGAAAATTTTCTTTGTTTACTTAAATATATTATAAGTGTTAATTGAAGCAGTTACGTTAAAATATATTTTAACATTAAAGTCTGAAAATTTGAATGAATACAATATAATTCTTTTATTATTATATGTGTTGTAGGTACACAATATTATGGCAACTGCTATTCAGGAAAATGGCATGAAACCGTTAACAAATAAATCACTGAATCACGTAAACGATGTTAATAATTTGGACAATGCAAATTCCTGTACAGAAGAAAGGGACAATAGATTGTTTGATGGTCAACTTCAACCATATGTTGATCATACCGAGAAACCTCATGAAGAGACTCATGAAGAACCCCATGAAGAGCCTCCAGAACTTGATATTGTTATTAACAATGTAGTTTGCAGCTTTAGTGTAAGATGTCATTTGAATCTGCGAGAAATAGCGCTCAATGGATCTAATGTTGAATACAGAAGAGAAAATGGGGTACGTGTTGAGAATTTTTGTATATTTACCTTCTCAATAAGAAATGATTTTTCCTCTATTACATTGTAATTCTTGATAAATTAAAGTTTTCAAGATGAAGTGCTAGTCCTATGTAGATCTTAGTTTTATTACATTTGCAATCTTTATTGAACAGAGTTTTCCGACCTTCACAATGGAAGATTAGACTTGTTTTTAACTTATTTGTTATTAAATAAAGATAAACTTGAAATGGCTTAATATAATAAACAAAAATGAATAACAGAAGGGTTAAAAGTCAAATTTTCCATATATTTAGATTCTTAAAAATATATACGTTTCGACCTATTTGTCAGATCATCCTCAGTGTATGTCGATAAATTAACGCAAATTTAGTAAAAAATCATGAAACGAAATTGTATTTAACCATTTTATGATTAAATTTACGTTAATTTATCGACATATACACTGAGGATGATATACGAAAAAATTTGGATCTTAGCCTTTCTGTTATTTATTTTTATTTATCTTTTATTATTATTTGGAAGTTTCTATTCACAAAAGGACAAAATAGTATTCTGATTTTTCCGAATTAAAATGTTCATGTTTTGAATACTTCGTTTTTATCAAAATGGAAAATTTTTTCCTTACTCACAAAATTCATGTATGTGAAATGATAACTTCGAGAAACAAATTGTTTGATAAGTAATTGCAATAAGCTCCAATATACTAAAAATTATTATTGCTATATAATTACAAGCCAATAGCTAGTAAGAATCTATAAAATAAGGGCCATCTGAATAGAATGGCTGGTCAACAAAAAGACAGAGTGAAGATGACTAGTTTTCTTCTCTTTCTTACAACATTACACAGAACAGAAAGAGATAGTGATTAGCTATCTTCCCGCCTTATCTCTTTTTTTTTTCAACCAATTGTATATACATTGTATAGTCTATGTTTTGTCTTTAGAATCTATGTACACACAAGTTTCTATTTAGAAAGAAAACAACTGAATTCTGAAAAACATAATTCACATTATCAATTTTAGATAAAATGTTTAATTTGTATAGAATTTATCTTTACTTTGCGTCGTATATTTTATTGTATACATTGGGAAAAAATTTTCTCTAATTAAAAAGATAATATCACAATATTATTCTTAAAAACTGTTATATAATTTAGTTACTTAGAAATATACAACTGTTTCTTGAAATAGTTTTTTCCTAAACGCAGCATTCTTACACATATTATATTACAACTGTTGTAATAAAATATCCTTGCTGATTAACATGTAAAGCTTGTCTCATATGTTTTCATCATAGAAAGTATTATAAAAAAATTCATAAAAAAGCAATAAAATAAAATTTTTAGATCAATAATTTTTTAAAGCTTATATAAAATATGATTTATCGGAATAAAAACCTGTAAATTTGCATATTCGAAGTTTATTGTTGCCTGCAATATTTTAAATTTTAGAGAATAAAAAGTTTTAATTATATGATAAACGTAAATTAGCTTGATAATTTATTAAGTATATATATTTTTTATTTACTATTTAATATTTTCTATTTATAGATAATATATTCAGAATAAAAGACTATACTTTAAAGCATATATAGACACGATTTAAAATATAAATTAATATAATTTTTGTTTGTGATTTTTAGATGATAACAATGAAATTAAGGCGACCATATACTACAGCATCCATCTGGTCATCTGGTAAAGTAACTTGCACTGGTGCAACCAGTGAAGTTCAAGCAAAAATCGCAGCACGTAGATTTGCCCGTTCCCTTCAAAAACTTGGATTCAAAGTGAGATTTAATAATTATAGGGTGGTCAATGTATTAGGCACTTGTAGTATGCCATTTGCTATCAAAATAACAGCATTTTCAGTGCATCACAAAGA